AATATAAGAAGAGAAGTCAGTATACATGCCTTGTCACCTAGTGGTTCTAATCCTAAGCTCTTTTCTGTCATTTGTTTCGATGAAAAAACGTTTATATTGTTGTTGCTGTCTGCAAAGGCCTACAACCGAAGTTATCAATTGACCAAGAAATAGCATACACCAAATTACTATCAATGCCACTCACTTTTTCTGTGAGCTCCACCTTATTATCTTATAAAACAAGAAGAACCCATCAAATTTATGAAGTAATGAGAGCAAATAATGCATAATTTTGGGGAAAAAGATTACCTTGGATGTGGGCTTGGCGAGATCAAACAGGGTTTAATCTTCTGCTGGGTAATGTTGGGAATGAAAAGTAACACCTGGGAATTATACCAAAGGGCATATTTATTTTGTTCCACTGAGTTTGAAGCTTCAACCTTTCACTCTTCTCTCTCATATGAAAATAAGGAAGCTGTTCATGAGATATGAATTGGTATAATAATTTTGTTTAAACCACCGTAACTTACCTCAAGCACGCTTATGTTCGAAAATTTTCAGTTTGATCCCTTTGGTTTAGATATAGTTGATGAAGAAAGAGGAGAGGACAAAATGGACATTTCAAAAGGAAATAGAAATTTATTAAATTAATTAAAAGTGAAAATTTTCTGAATTGAAAAAAAAATCAATTACAATTTTCAACAAAAACTAGCATAATTAAGTTTATCACCTGGTAATTTCTGAACTTAATGGTGGTTGATTCTAATCCAACCAAGTAGGGAAGATATGATTCAATTTTTTCAAATTATTTTCGAAAATTTCCTCTAATAATGCAGCTTCATTTGATGGAATTATGCAGAGAAGTCCTCTGCCTCTAACCATATTTGTTAATTACAGGTGATAATTAATAAACTAATGATTCTATGAATGGAATTAAAGATTGAGGAATTCAGAAACAACAAAAGCTTTACCTGAATGAAAAGGAATTAAAATTTCAGTCTTTTGGGTTGTGGTTCCTCCTCCATGTTTGAGCTGAAATCTCCTTTATATTGTTTCACTTGTTTGAGTTCTTTTCCAGAGTAGTAGAAGTTTTCTATATGAAGCCCACACTTCACCACATTGTAATATTTTCCACTGAAATCAAAAGTAAGATATGGGCTTTTCCACTGCAAACCTGGCATAATAGGCGACACCATTACATGATCTGACATGACTGTTGCATTGACATTCTGTTATGTATTTCTGTTCTTCCATCCCCTGCCTCTTACCATTTTCATCTATGCCAATCACCTTATAACGAAAAACCAAAGATTGGGGAGCTTTGTCATGGTCTTGAAATGTTACAACAAGGCACATTTTCAACTGATGGGAGATGATCGGGAAGAGGTCAAAAGGTGGTGGCACCTCGAGAGTTATAGAAGATCCCACATTTTGGAAGCTAAACCACTTCGGAATTTCATTTCCAGGATAAAGAAAAGAACCTTTCAACACATATTGGTTCTGTACAAAAAGAATATTTAACAGCTTATGTTAAAATATAAAATAAAAAACATCGATCATATAAAGGAAATCTAGAGAATGGAAGTCATACCTCTACCAAATTGGCTTTCAGCATATTCTGATCCAGTTTTAAACAGTTACCAAAGTTGGCATTCCTCACTGAAGAGGACAAATCAAAATCCCATAACTCCAATGATATACAATTGTATGCTTCAACAATTTCAGCGCCTAATGGTAAGCACCTAAGCCTCTCACAATAGCTTATGTCTAGATAGCACAAGTTAAGTTCTTTGAAGCTTGATGGTATCCATTCAAAATTGTTTCTGCTTAGATTTAAGCTTCTTAGATAGTCAAACTTACCAAAAGTGTCGGGTAACCTCATGATTTGACAATCAGATAAATCTAAGTCATACAGAAAGCTCAAATTTGATAAAAGAGGCCATACTGAACCCACCATTGGATCTTGAATCCTATATCTGCTCAAGGACAAATAACAAAGTCCCTTCAATTTTCCTAACTGATGGGGCAAATTATTGAGTTTTGAGCAACCCATGAGTTTAAGTACCCAAAGAGCCTTCAACTCACAAATGTCGCTTGGGAGACTTTCAAGCCTTGAGCAATCTTCAAGGTACAAGATTTTTAGTTCTGATGGATATTCAATCAAGGGCAACTCTGTTATAGATGTTCCATCAAAATATACTTTCTCCATGTTACATGTGATCTTTGGAGCCTTCTTGAGATTTGAGCAACCAGAGAGAATGAGATTTCTAAGAAATTTTGATTGAATGTTGGCGGGAAGACTGTTAAGGCTTATGCAACCTTTAAGATTTAAGATAACCAACTTATTTAGATATTGAATTGATGAATGAACCTCAATCAAACTTGTACAACCTTCTAGAATCAAACTCTCAAGATTTGGGACTAATGAGAGATCTGGAATTCTAATTAGGTGCTTGGAGTGGATGAGGTTGATATGCTTCAACTTTTCTAAATGCTGCAAAACAATTATAAATTAAGGAGATGAGGAAGTAACATAAATTATATAATCAGCTTTATGATTTTCTACAAAAAAAGAATATGAAGATAAATATTTATACCTGGAGACCATTTCAGAGTTGTTTAATTTTGCTCCACGGCATGATAAGTGCAAAAAGATTTTCCACCTCAAAAATTGATGGCAATGAATCCAAAGGATATCCAAACCAGCGAAAGAACCTTATGTTACATGGACTGAATTCTAGGCCCTCCAAAGCATGCACCTTATTCACATCCTCTTCATCCACTGAGCAATATTCACAATTTTTGCGGTTGCCTGACCAGAAACACATGCAATAAGTATATTGCACCCACCGTCTACTATAGTAACCGTCCCACCTCGGCTTGTCTGGGCAATAAAAGTCCAAGAATCTGAGGTTTTGCATCTTCAAGAAAGCATTGCACTTCAAGTTTATCTCTTTTATTTTAGAAATATCCAAGGAGATGCATTCAATTGCTTCACTTCCCTAACAATCAAACGACAGTAAATTAGTATCTTAAATAAATGTCAAACCCTACTATTATAACACGAAGTTTTAAAATTAAATTCTAATTTTTTTCTTATTTTTCTTTTTTGTAAAATTCAAATGTAGACATGCCCCAAATCTAATTTAACCCTTCGTTGTAGGAACTAATAAATTATGCGTGACAATTAAAAATTAATAATAATAAATGGATGATGTTATCCAATTATAATAATATAAAAAAATTAATCAATCAATAACTCACCGTGTTTCTTCTTAACACATCATAGATATCATCATGATGCCATAATCTGCTGCGTTTACTTGGATCTTTAGATTCTTGCTTGACAATTTTCTCTCCCATTTTTTGTAACAAATCATGCACTTCTATGCGATCCATATCATCTATAGTTATAAGAGACTTGTCAATGACATTGCATACTCCCATTTTGGAATCAAAATCACGATCATCAAGGATTTCCGTTGCAATATTTCTTCTAGCTCCAATAAGAAAGCATGCTATATCTAGAAATATATCTTTCTCTTGATCATCAAGTCCATTATAACTTATTTTCAGTATATCTTGGATTTTTGGATTTGCATTTGGATTTTTTTTTAGGTTAATCAATGCACTTTCCCAGTCTAATTTTTCCTTCTCAAATAGCGAAGAACCTAGAACTTTAAGAGCTAATGGAACACCTTGAGCAAATTGTATTACCCTTATTGATAGCTCCATGTAATCTATAAGGGGATGATCTAGTTTAAATGCATGACGACTAAAAAGTATAAGAGATTCTTTAAATGGTAATCTCTCAACTCTATATGTGTTACCATGACTTACTCCACAAGTTTTAAGCACTTGTTTATCTCTTCCTGTAATAATGACTCGACTTCCCGGACCCAAACATTCAAGATCTCCAATTAACTTTTTTATTTGCTCTGAACATGTCACATCATCAAAAACAATGAGAATTTTCTTATCGTGAAACCTACTTTTGGTGAAGGTGGACTCTAAAATAGCCCATTGATCTTCTAATATTGCATAAAGAAGTTCTTCACGCAAACAAATTAATCCAATTTTTTCCGACTTTTCCCTGACATTTTGAAAGTGAACACTCTCAAATTGACTTGAGATTTTGGTGAATAATGCACGAGCAAGAGTTGTCTTGCCTATACCACCTATTCCCCAAATCCCAACACTTCTGTAAACATCTTTTAACTCAAGACATAATAGCAATTCAAGTTTCTCTATTTTTGATTCTATCCCAACGAGGTCCTTGTTTTCACTCGAGGACATTTTATTCAGTTCTTCCAATATTTTTTTGACAATTTCCTCTATTAACACAGCTTCACGCCTAGCAAAATATAAAACACTTTAGTAAGTTTAATTAAATCAAAATAGAAAAATACAATGCTTTTTAATTACAATATCTATGCAAACAAAGCATTTGAATTAAGAGAAAACAATATAATGGATACATTCCAAAACATTTACCTAATGTTAATCTAACAATCTTTCATTGAAAGAACCATAACAAAAGTAAAATTCATAGTTTTGTATTTTTGTTTAGCTCATAAGAATGTCCGGTTCAACTCAATTACCACATACTCTATAATAGTTTAACACCACATTTATCCATAATTAAATTTATTGAAATAAAAATATAAACTGATTTCATTTTATTATTATTTTTTAAAACATTTTGAGTCCCCTATTAATTGTATCCTTCCAAGATATATATAAATATTAAATAATCTACAATATCTTAAAATTCATGTACTTGAATTTTCTTAAATATTATAGTTTTAGAATTTAATTTTTCACATTTAAATATTTTAATTACAGATTTTTTCATTAATGATCCATATTAAATATCTAAATACTAGCAATATTTTTTGTCAGTTTTATATATAATAAATAAATTTATTTTCCCCAAATAAAGAAGAGAAGTCCTCATCCATTGAGCACACTTAAATATCTGCAAAAAGTAATTGTAATTGGGAAATTCAATTAACGTACAATTACCTAATGTTACTTGAATCAAATCCAGATAGATTAGTTGTTTCATTCAAAGCATGCCTCCATCTCATCACCTTCTCTGAGCTCTGCTTTTCTTCATGGTTCACAAATGCTTCTCCAAATGTTCCAATTTGATTTCTTACTTCTGATGGATTCACGTGATAGAAAACTGGCACTACCATCAGATCTCTCGCTTTCTTGCATTCAGTGATCTTTGTGAGTTCTTCACGACACCATCTAGATGTGACATAACCTTTTGAGAAGACAATAACTGCGATTATTGATTCTTCGATCACATTCAAAAGTGTTTCTGAAATTTCATCTCCTCTATGAAAGTGTTGATTTTCTTTGAACAGAGAGCTGCATAGAGATGGCTTATAAAGTTGTCACGTGTATCCTCACCTCTAAAACTAAGAAAAACATGATATTTTTGAGAAACTCCGTAAGAAGAAGAAGATGATGATGAAGCCATTATTACACTTCACACTTGATGAAAGACTACTTAGAGAAGAGATAGTTTTGAACTCTGCGTATGTAAGTAATGCACAGAATTTTAAAATTATATAACCAAGACAGTGATATGCTTGCGTAATTCAATGAACCTTCCACGAAGTTTTGTGCAAATTTNAAATAGAAACAGAATTAGAAAAGGAAAGAATTAAGAGTCACACACGGGGACAGACAGTTAGAGAGTTTTACTTACTGAGCATTATTTGTGCTCACCCCGTTATTTTCCTTTGTGGATGCAGGTTCTAGGTGATGATGCGGTTGGAGGGGCGTCGGCGCGCGAGGAGCAATAGCTACACTGTTCCCCTATTTTGTCTTTTGAAATGCACTTTTGTAAACAGTAACCTTTGTGTATAAAAGACATGTGAATTGTAATGAAAAGAAACTTTTTGGGCCCAATTTTCCATTGTTAATTGCATGCATTGTACTAGTTTTCAGTAGGTGTTACATCCCGTGAGTGACATAGTGTAATGACTCTCTCTCTAGCTAGTATACTCGTAAAATAAACAGTAAAACTCACTAAATATATATTACGAAAATATACATGTAGATGAGTATAAAATAATAGCCTCAATTTTTCTTTATATATACAAAACTATACATAGTGTAAATAAATTTCTCAAGAAGCTCGACAGTGTTGCTCGACCCTTCCGCATCTTGACATTCCAAGCGACCGCATCTCATCTACTACCTGCAAAAATATTGAAAACAACGGGGTGAGCACTAATTGCTCAGTAAGTAAACCCGCTATGCTACCCTTCTATCTCCGTTGCTCATATTCTGAATTCTTTCCTTACATCACACTTCTCTCTTCTTCTCTATTCTTTTCTATCCTTTCTCTATGTTCTTTCTCTATTCTTTTTCTGTTCTATCTGTCTGTTCTTTCTCTATTCTTTTTCTGTTCTATCTCTCTGTTCTTTCTCTATTCTTATTTCTCACTTACTAACATGTAAGCACAATTGGAGAAACTAATTCTGAATAATATGAATGACATGATGCATGTGCATAAATGCATAAAGAACGCAATTTCTTTTCGGTTTTCTGTTTCTCTTCTTTCTTTCTATTATGTTCTTTCTTTCTGTGTTCTATTATTTCTTTCTTTCTGTTCTGTTCTTTCTTTGTGTGTTCTACTCTTTCTTTCGTTCTATTCTTTCTTTCTTTCTATTTCGTTCTTTCTTTCTCTGTTCGATTCTTTCTTTCTTTCTGTGTTCTACTCTTTCTTTCTTTCTTTCTATTCTTTCTTTTTATGCTGATCGAACTCGACTGAGGCATGGATTCGGAACCCTGGCCATGTGAGTGAATACAATCCTCATCTACATGCACTTCTATCGGACTGTACAACTCTTCTTTCTGATTCTGAGGCCGCTCACTAAAGGCGGCGTGCATGTAGGTAAATTCTGTTGGTACAGTTCTCATCCACATACACTTCTAACGAACTGTACACTTACTTCTTTCTGATTCTGAGGCCGCTCACTGAAGGCAGCATGTATGTGGGACTATTCTTCTCTGTCACTCACAGGTTCCCTATCGCAACAACCTTCTCTTCTCTTATTTTTTACAATTAATTCTTTTCTTTCTTTTTCTTTATTCTTTACTATTCTCTTCCATGTGTATGTGCATGGAACTATGCTCATTCTTTGCTATTCTTTCTAAATGCAAATGTGAGAATGTGAGAATGCATTATGGCATATAAAAATATCATTAGAAAACTAGTATTTTCTACCAACAACATTCCCATACTTGAAATCAATCATAGATTATTAGACTACAAAATATTTTGAGGTAGTTATTTTGCACAGGTCATATTCAAGAAGGCATATCTCAAGTTACACACATCGGATTGCTACGATCTTGGTCTCATTTTAAAGCGTAGAGACAGGGCTACAACTTTCATGTTTAAGTCTCAACCCAGTTCAATCGGTAAGATGTCCAAAAATCACTCAAAAGGTCACGGCTGTGACAGGGCAGCCATGGTAACATGTTTTCTCTTAGGATTTTCATCAAATAAATTGCATGCATACTCAAACTCTATTTGGCTACACTTCTACTTCTTTCTCAAGCCACCAATATTTGGGCAAAACTCCATTAAACACTAAACCTGGCCAGGAAACTACACTTTATAAAGTCTACTCAGACTCTTTCTAAATTCAACCAAACTTCCATCAATCACCATATAGGCAAAGTCTACATTCTCATGGCTGAATTTTAATTTTCATCAAGTATTACTCTCATCAAAACTTCTCAAAAACATAAGCACATACATACATGTACAAATCTCTACAAACTTACTTAAATCAAACTTAGGGTTAGATTTATTTACCTTGATCTTGGGTAGTTCCACACTAGAAACTCTCTCTTTGGGTAGATCCCCTCTTCTTCTTAAACCCTAAGCATATAACTATAAGAATTCAACACTTTAAAAATTAATCTCACATCATATTACAATAACTCTTACCTTTGGATGCTTAGGATTGAATATCTACCAAAATCCAACCAAAAATCCTCTCAATTGCCTTGGAAATTTGATGAAGAAAATGAGAGAATTTGGAGATGAAAGTGGCGTGTGAGGGAGTAGAGAATGATAGAGTTTTCAAGAATGAACTCCAAATATCTCATTTATTACTTATACTTTCCCATTTTGCCCTTGTACTTTCTATAAAATTCCATCTATGTCCCTTAATCAATTACAATAATGCCCTCATTTTTATTAACTTCTCCATGAAATTCTATCTCTTTTCACTCCCCACTTTTTCAACTAATTATAAGTTAAATTACCATTTTACCCCTAATAAAATTTTAAGGCATTTTCTTCACACTTGTTCAAGATACCTTTAACAAAATTCAACTAAGGGTATTAGAGAATACATAAAGCTACGTATCGCGATGTAGGCCTTACAAAAGATACAAAATTTTGTAGCAACTTTTCACAAGATCTTTTTTTAAATCCAAGATACAAAGAAGATGATAGGGTTAAAACATCAAATGACTTAGTAATGGTATAGAAGTTAGGTTAAACTGCATATCAAGTGGGTTTAGGATAGTATGTACAAAATTTGGATCCATTTTTCATTAGAGCTTTTACTAGCTTTTAAAGATATATCTTATAACACATACACATTTTATTTGTTTATATTCCTATTTTGCAACCAGTAATCACAAACCCTTACTTTTTATGTAAACAGTGCACAAAATTTTAAAATTATATAACCAAGACAGCGATGTGCTTGTGTAATTCAATGAGCCTTTCACGAAAGTTTGGTGCAAATTTCAAGTAATTTCTTCAAGGAGAAGGAATATGCCAAATTTCCTTGAAGTTTCTTTACTTTCTTTACTTTTGATTTAAAAGGGGGGATCCATGTCTCTTGCTGTATTATTAATATACACTTTCATGTAATTATTAAAATAAAAAAAATTGAGTGTATATCCCATTTCTCGGAAGGTGCGCTCATGTTGACTTAGAATGAGAGAAAATTTCGAAACAATTAATAGATTGATTGACAAAACCTATCATCGTCTTCGAGAAAGTTAGCTATTACAGTAAAATCTCTCTATAGTCATAATATTGGGATCAAACTAATTTATTACTATAAGGAGGTTATAACTTAATAGAGGTATAGTTAAAAAAAAACTATTTTTATTTCTTATTTTATAATTCATGTTTTAGTAGTATATATTAGAACTTCAATTAATTATTTTAGTAGCATTAGGATTTCTTATTTACTTTTAATATTACTTGTTTCTTATTTTATAATTTATGTTTTGGTAGTATTAGGATTTCCTATTTACTTTTAATATTACTTAATTTCCTATTTTAAAATTCATGTTTTGGTAGTACCAGGATTTCAATTCATGTTTTAGTATTAGTAAGATTTCAATTCATTGTTTTAGTAGTAGTATTAGAATTTCTTATTTACTTATCCTAGTAGAATTATGATTAGCCTACTATAAATGGGGTTGTTATGGTTCAACTGATTCAATCAAGTTTTCAATAAAATCTTCCACCAATTCAAGTGATACCTTTCTTCTTCCTCTACCAAATCAATCATGCCACCCAAAGTTAATACACGAACTCAATTGACTGAAAGTATTCGTGTTGAATTGTGCAAAATGGAAGAATCAAACCCTAGTTGGAAGCAGAAAGATCTTGTGAAGTGGTTAGAAGATACTCATGGTCTTAAGGTATCACAAGCAACAATATCTAAAACACTCAAAGGATCATCTGACCTCCTTCAAGAAGAAGGATTGTTGAACCCAAACACAAAACGTTCAAAGATGGTAAAGTATCCAGCAATGGAGTCTGCCCTCTATGAATGGTTTGTATGCCATCAAGAGCATGTCAATATGAATGGTGAATTGTTAAAAGAGAAGGGAAATATTTTTCTAAGGAAACTCTATCCCGAAGCTACCTTGTTTGGATTTTCAAATGGATGGTTGGAAAAGTTCAAGCAATGACATGCAATTCATTCCTTTCGTCGTTTTAGGGAAAGTGGTTCAGTTAATATGGAGAAAATTGAAGCTAGTTTGCCATCAATAAGAGAGGAATTAGACAAATGGGCTTGGAAAGACATTTATAATATGGATGAAACTGGCTTATTTTATTGAATGCAAGCAGATAACTCTCTTGCAACAAAGCAGTTGGAGGGCCGAAACCAGAACAAAGAGAGGATTACAATTGTTATTTGTTGTAATGGCAATGACTCTGACAAATTTCCGCTTTGGGTCATCAGTAAGTTTCTTAATCCAAGATGCTTTAATAATGTTAACCGTGATAATCTTAATTGCAAGTATCGAGCGAATTCAAATGCATGGATGACATCTTTGTTTTTTATGGAATGGCTTAAGTGGTTTGATAGCCGTTTGGATAGAAATGTCTTGCTTATATTGGATAATTGTACCGCACATGGCAAAAAGGAGAATCTCCCCCCACTTCATCACACAACTGTTCTGTTCCTACCACCAGCTAGCACTTCCAAAATCCAACCATGTGATGCAGGCATTATTAGAAATTTCAAAGGTTATTATCGGCAGCTCTTTAATCGCTTACTTTTGAAACGGATAGAAGATCATGTATTGGAACCAGAAAAGATAAGTATCCTTGATGGAATTGTAAATGCAGTCGTTGCATGGTCAATTGATGTGAAGCCACAAACAATTATCAATTGTTTTAAGCATTGCAAAATTAGGACCTCCGATGTCGATGAATTGCAAGTTACAAATGAAGTGAATGAAGAGAATAGAAAAGTCATTGCAGAATTGAGTGATCAAATTCGACAACTTCACTACACTAATCGAATGGATATTAATGTCTTCCTCGATCATCCAAATGAGCAACAAGTCGTATATGCTTTAATTGAAGAAGAAATCATTGATGCAATTAGACAAGAAGAGAAAGGAAATAATCCTGAGGATGATAGTATGGAAATGCAAAAAGTTCCGTGCCATGAAGCTCTAAAGATGCTTAAGAAGCTAGAAATATTTTGGCTTCAACAAGAAGGTGTCCATGCTAGCGAGTTATTATATTCCCGTAAGTTAGAAGATTTGGTAACAACTCTAAAGCATAAATCATTGTCCCAAACAACTTTAGATAAATATTTTATTTCATCATAAACCTTTAATGTAACATAGCATATATTTTTTTTGCAATATACAAATAATTATTACTATGTGGAGGCAACTTTCCTTAAGACGGGAATTAAAAAAATTATAACTTATTACAATGTAGAGTTTATTCTTATTTATAACTATCCTAAATTGGGAATAGAATTTTTTTATGACTATGTAGAGTTTATTCCTATATAGAGTATCAATATAAAGAGGTTCTACTGTCATTAAATGAAAAGAAAATATCTTCTCAAATTGTTTAATTTGTAAATTATTTTACATATGAAAAGAAAATCTCTTTCTCCATTAAATTGAACCTCATTAATTTGTAAGAAACGTTCAAGTAATTAATGAATGATAATCTCATTTCTCAAAGGTTCTTAAAGTCCTTTCACACAATAAAGTCTCATTTCAACTTTCAAGAGATTCGGAAAGTTTTTCTTTCACAAATTCTTTTCACACAAATAAGTCTTTTATTTATTTCCAGGAATTAAGTTGGATGTCTATTTTCATCTACAAAAGACGGAATTAAGATTGCAAAGATACAAAATTTTGTTCCAACTTTTCACAAGATCTTTTTAAATCTAAGATACAAAGAATATGATAGGGTTAAAACATCAAATGACTTAGTAATGGTATAAAAGTTAGGTTAAACTGCATATCGAGTGGGTTCAGGATAGTATGTACAAAATTTGGATCCCCTTTTATTTAGAGCTTTTACTGGCTTTTAAAGATATATCTCATGGCACATACACATTTTACTAACTTTTAACCTGTCCCAATCCATTGGGCTTTCTGGCCCAGAACAGAATTGATAATTATTATTAACAATAATCAATAAAAATTGGTAATTGACATGTAATACACGACATGATAAAGTAATGTTATTATTACATAAACCATGTAACATTATTGACATAACGAAATAAAGATTAAATGTTAGATGTCTTTCAGCTTAGAGGTTTGAATATATAAATGATATCTTTTGAGTCCAAATGATATCTTTTGAGTCCACGAGAAAAAATATCGAATTCACTACAAAAAAAAATTCAAGAGAAAATCTTTTGATATGAAAAATATTCAAGGAAAAAAGTTATGCAATCTGTTTGTTCGAAGACAAGACCGGCAATTTGCTGCAAATCTTTACCAGAAATTTGAAATGAAAATATGAACAATATAATCAGTTATCTTCTATTGATTCAAGAAAAAGTTCATAAACAGCTATTTGAAAAAAAAAATTAAAGAAAAAAAAATAAAGTCTTTAATTAATGTGTTTCATATGAGCTTTATGTACACTGCATTGCTCGGTCTGGAACTTGTAGCTGATACAACTCCGCATTTTCAATTACTTCCTTCAGAGCATCTCCACCCAGAAACTTGAGAACCTATGGCCATGAACCAAACGAAGTAGTAAGAACATATGCAGATTGTCCTTTAGAAACAGAATAAAAAAGTTACAGTCCAAGCCCTCCAATCAATGAGGACAGTAAGATTCATGAATAAATAAATCATGAGAGAAAGTGCAGAACAAAAGCCAGACGGCAAAGGCGTAGAATAGTGGACATAACCAAATACAGTAAAACTACATTATCGCTTGCTTCCAAAGGAAAACAGGAGAGGAAAGGAGGAAATGAGAACCAAAAACCTCATTTGCATCATTGAAGCAACAGAGCTCATCTTTCTTCGGCCATTGGACACGCCAGCATCTGAAAACCGACAAACAAACTACATGAAGAGATAACTCTAAGTATATGGATACTACTTTTGGAGGGCACTATAAACAGAATTCGGTCGTTAAACCTAAAACATGATGATGATAATCAGACAGGGCGTAATATTGTAGTAAAGATACCATTTTATACTACTATTACTAAAGATATTGCCTACATTAAGGTTTCACCAGGTCAAGATTTCGCACCATCAATTTGATAATTCAGTGCCAATTAAACCGAAAGCTATAAATTTTGGACTATTGATAAGTAGGCTGTTGTGCGTGAAAGTGATATACGTACTCTGCTATCAATCACTGTGCTATATCAAATATTTCCCACTTATTTGATATAGCACTAAATCAAAGTAATATTGCACATGAATTTAATAATTGAAAGCATTTGTGGAATAGATGATTTTCATATATAAGTTTCTAGAAGAATGTATAAGTTTCTGAAGTACATGAAAGGAATTAATTTATAATTGAAACCTCTCTTTTCCAAGACGGCGTGCTAGCTCTTCAGCCAAGGCTTGGCCGGGTACATCACCATCAGTTGCCAGGATAATGCGAGAAACCTACAAGATTTATTAACGCTTTTAAGAAATAATAACAAGCAATGAAAAGAGGAAGACCAATACAAATTTGCATATTGGCTCTATCACTAAAGCATGCATATGTATTAAGTTTACCTTATCCAAGTGCTCTTTGCAGTTCCATATATACTGATATCCCGTGTCCTATGTTCTCAAACAACAAGCAGAAAAGAAATTGTAAACAAATATTAAAAAAAAGAAAAAAATAACCACAACATACAGCAAAAAATGACTTTAAATTAAATACAAGACACTAATTGCAAGTCAAAATAAAAAATAAAAATATCAATGAATAATTTGTTACTCTTGCATAAGGAAGATGCAATCAAACCTTATATAGAATGGAAGAACTATTTTTATCAACCACTTACATTATGCAATATTTCTTGGCAATGAACACATAATACAAAATATATGTTAATTCAAAGCAAATTTAGAAAACTTAAATGGGCTACAGATAGAATGGAATCGATGGCTTTGTGAAAGAGAAGCTAAATCCAATTCAATGTGATATCTTAATTCAAAGCAATAATTTATTGGATACTTAAGAATTTGAGTTAAATGTGGGGATGCATTTACATTCAGGAAAAATATCAAAGTTCTTTCATATTTGCCAATTAATAAAAGGTCTTTTAATGATGCTATATATACTTCTTTGCATAAAGGAAATTAATAAATTTGTATAAATCATCATCACAGGCTCCAAAATTTCCAAGTCTCGAACCAAACCTTTTCCCGTGGTGGTAATTCTCTGGCAGAAGCCTTTTGTGGTGCTCCACAAGGAACACTTACACAATTTAGGAAGCCAGCTTCCTCCATCGCAAGCTTATCATTTCACCTTCAACCTATGATCAGCATCAAATAATAAAAATCAGTAGAGAAAGAGATTTAAATTACTCAGTAAAAGAAACCGAAGCATGATTTGGCGGTATTTACAATGATGATTTCAGCAGCTTCCTTTATATCATCAAGTCCAAATAACTATTTCTCTGTGCCCCTCTCCTGAAATGAAAGCAACAATCCAACAAGAAAATCAGAATACAATGCAGCTACACTTGATTATAGATTGACAAAACAAGAATGACAGGTACTGAAATGGCACTTTAATGTACTACGGACAAATTCACTATCCCCACACAACAAATGAAAGAAACAGCTCCTTAAGCATAGGAATAAAGAACTTAAACTGAAACCATAGGCTAGAACTGGACATGTAAAATGGGCTGTGCCAACCCATTTTTTCCATATTACTATTCTTACCAGAACTAGGAGTGATCTTAGGATATTGTTTGTGGATAGTTCAGAGTGCAGTGAGAGAATCCATCAATCTAGGACTTGGGAGTCAGTTACCATGTGATCTTAATCACCTCTCTGGAATTGCTTTTCTAAAAGCCAAAACACATTAATTATAGCATTTTATGTGGCTGTGCTATATCAAATATTTCCCACTTATATCTCTGCCATTCCATTGGTATATCAAACTATATTTACCCATTCAACAATCCAAGGACAGGATTAGCACAAATACCTGCCAAATTTTTTTCTCCCGGCAGGTTCGGTACTTGCAACCAACTAGCACCCCATTTTGTCTAAAAGGGAAAGCTATGACAGCCTGTTTACAAAAATTTTATTAGTGGTTAGAAAGCAAACTCAAGATGAGGGAAAGAATCATCATACATGTAGATATCTTATCTGAGGTTCACAGCGCTCACCATGTGCATAGTTGAGAATAAAAATGTTAAGATACTATATTACACTGATAAGTAAATATAGCCAAAAACTCAATAGATTAATCAAAACCATGGGACAAAGAAAAAATAGTGCATTACGTCAACAACTGCTAACATCCACATGCCAATGGGAATAGAAAGGAGACTGAATGCAGTGAGGAGTTAGGTAAATTAACTCTTACAAACTTAGTTGATCAAATCCATAGTTATCATATCGTGACATACCCTAATTGTTCAAGATTGGAACAAGTGATCCCAAATGTGAATCCATTTTCATTACCGAATGATATTTTCAAAGGAGTTTAAAAAGCTACTTCAACAAGAATCTATCTTGCCCACTAGTTGCAATCATTTCCTACACCTTGGCTTCTGTCACAATCACATGGCCAACTAGCTTTAACAGGGCACAACCTTACTCAATCAAATAAATGATAGCAAGATACATTATCTTGTGCTTGTCAAATTTTATAATTGAACTAATTATACTAAGAACCAATCTTTCGAAAGGGATTCATAGTACCTGATATTAGATTAGGGTTGTTTCAATGCATTTTACTTCAACAAGAATTCCAATAAACTTTTCCCTGACTATAATCTATTTTCAGTCATCCATGGTATCATTCTAAAAATTGTTCAACCTCAAAATCACATTTTATAATATAAAAGATAAGAATTAAATCAAAAGATTAATGATAAGAACTAAGTAGCTGCAGTTGAAAAGGAACCTGATCACCAGATAACTGCATAACAGAATTTCTCTGGAGAGTTCCCTCAGATATCATCCACTCAGCAAAATATGCAATTAGCTGAAACAAAGACAGAATATAAATTCTGAATCATTATCAAGCTCAACGAATAAGGACTCTCAATTAAGAGGATTTAGACTCTCGCAAGACATAACTTGGCAATTCCTCGAATATGGTATAATTCAACAACGAAAGAAAGAAGCTCATAAAAATCAAAAGAAATATAAGAAGAGAAGTCAGCATACATGCCTTGTCACCCAGTGGTTCTAATCCTAAGCTATTTTCTGTCATTTGTTTTGATGACAAAACTTTTGTATTGTTGTTGCTGTCTGCAAAGGCCTACAACCGAAGTTATCAATTGACCAAGAAATAGCATACACCAAATTTAGGTCAGACAAACGCTCGTTACAATCTTACAAGCAGGAATTGCATTTGGATTTATGAAATGGTTTAGCATATTGATTATGAACTTATAAGAAGGAAAACTTGAAATGTAAGGTTGAGAGCTTTTAACCTGTCTTTTTGATAGTCAAAAGCAGAAGTACTTCAACAAGAAGCCGTAGTACTTCAACAAGAAGCGGAAGTACTACTACAAGAAGGAGAAGTACTTCTTCAAGAAGGGATTACCTGGCCTGCCCATCCACAATTAGCTCGAAAACACCTCCACATTGCAAAATCCCTACAACAAGTGAAATCCAACCCAGTCGACCACCACTCACAAAAGATTCTACACAAATAAATCAAATTAATTTTTTTTTTTTTTTTTATAAAAAAAAGGCAGCTTTCCGCTTACCAATCTTGGATTATATGAAGAGACAAACTTCTCTCCATTGACTGACCTCCTTTACACTAAAGCCAGAGAACCATTCAATATTCAAACCAAAATTAAAACAAGAACAACAACATATAAAGGTAACAATGAAGCTACAAGAAACACACATCTGTGGACAAAACAAGCGATTATACTGTCCAGGAATACAAGAATCGTTGCAAATTATCCCAACAAGCTCCAATTTCTGTTTTACTTTCTCAAGTTTCAAATTACCATCGATGCCACTCACTTTTTCTGTGAGCTCCACCTTATTATCTTATAAAACAAGAAGAACCCATCAAATTTACGAAGTAATGGGAGCAAATAATGCATGATTTTGGGGAAAAGGAATTGCCGGGGACGTGGGCTTGGCGAGACCAAACAGGGTTTAGTCTTCTTCTGGGTAATGTTGGGAATGAAAAGTAACACCTGTGAATTATACCAAAGGGCATATTTATTTTGTTCAACTGAGTTTGAAGCTTCAACCTTTAACTCTTCTCTATCATATGAAAATGAGGAAGCTGTTTAGGAGATATGAATTCGTACGATAATTTTGTGTTGTTATTGTGTCTGTAGCTTGTTTGTTAGCTCAAATTGGCCGCTTTGCAACCACATGCTATGGCGGAGCTATGGCCGCTAAAAAATAAATAATAAATCACATTTAAACCACCGTAAATTGTGAAATAGATAATGGAGAAAGAGGAAATTTATTAAATTAATTAAGAAGTGAAAATTTTCTGAATTGAAAAAAAATCAAAATTTTAGAAATTTCTAAATTAAAAGCAATTATATAATTCAATACTTAAAAATAAAATAAAAAGAAACAAAACTCCTAATCCTTCACAACAATTTATTTTTTAAATTTATAGAAACTAAAAAATAAAGAAATTCAAAATATATATTTTTAAAAAATGAGGGTATATATATATTATTAAATTAAATAAACTATGTAGATGTTTGTCTTTTTTTTTTCTTTCTCTTCAGTAAATAATGAATTAATTGTCATTTGCAATTGATTGTAGAATAAATAAATGCATACGGTGAATTTAAATTAACATTAAGTGCTTAAAATATGCAGTGATGACTGTGGTAAATGATAGACTAGTTAAAGAGATTAATTATATATAATCATAATTAAGACATTAAAATTAGTTTTTAATTAAAAAAAAAAGAATAATACTATACAATATAAAGATTGTATTAGACTTCCATTTTGCAACAAAACCCTAGATTAATCAATTTAATCCCACATTATATTAATTTTTACTTAATTACTATGAAAAAAAATAAAATAATAAATAACTCCTTTGATTAATTAATCATGAATAGTATTACACTTATAACTTTTTCAAATAACCTGACAGTTCGTGATTAGAAAGTTCGTAGTGGGTTCCGTCTGTCCAAATATAAACTGATCAATTGCAAGTTATTAACTTAGGATTATATAAAAAAAATTATATGAAAAAATTATAAGTATAATTTTATTGATATTTCATCCTTAAATACAATTATTGTAATTAATTAACAGCATTTGAGCAAAAGAAAAATTATTAATTAAGAGTAACCGTTGGTTAATTGTAAGGAAGGTTAAACACGAGCAAGCAGCAGGTAGGTAGTCGCCATTATCCATAACGGTTTCTTAATTAACCCACAAACAACCAATAAGAACTCTCCACGTGTCCCTGATTAACCCTACTAATCAGGAGGTGGTTTACTCCTTAATCTCCTTTTTTCTCTCCGCCAAAACCCTGAAACTCATCCCCCCACTTTCTTCTCCAGTTCGTTAATTTTATTTTGATATTAAATTCTCCTTCAATTCAATAAACAAAAAGACAATATCTTTAAATTAATCTACTACAGTTGCAGGTATTTTCTAAATTTCTCTCTCTCTCTCTCTCTTTCTTTTCTCTTCTTCGTTCCTTTGACTTCAAGTTTTCTTTCTCTTTGTTCGTACAGTAACTTTAACGTAATGGCTTTGAGTTTGAGTGCACGGGATCAGTACACTGATCTTCAACATTTTTTCAACCCAGAAATGTTAAGCTTCCAACAACAGGCAGCTGGAGAATTCGAGGACGACTTCGATTACTACTTCAACTTGTTCAGTTTCAGCAACAATGATTTTGGTTTCGATTATGATTATGTTTCGGATACTTTATCTGATCATAGTTACAACCAGTTTCCATTGTTGTTAAACGATGATAATCAAGTCTTTAACACCTCTGAATCTGATCATCAATACTTCTCTTCTTCTTCTCTTCCTGATAATTTCATCTTCCCTCTTGAAGACTTTGAGTGTCATCATAATTATCCGAAGCGGCAGAAGAGCTATTATGGAGATGCGGTTGACGTTGATCATCATTCGGTTACTTTTTCGCCTGAATTCTTCTCCGGGTGTGTCTCAAATGTGATTAATCCTCCAGCGCCACCGCCTCTTCCTGAATTCCTGCCAGAGATTCCAACTCCTTCGCTGGCAGGTTTCAGTTTTGAGAAGAGTGGTAGTACTGATCACGTGAGTAGCACAAAGAAACCAACTGGGGTGAGCTTGTCGGCGCGAAGCGTCGCGGCGCGACAGAGAAGAAGGAAGATTACGGAGAAGACGCAAGAGCTGGGAAAGCTGATTCCGGGCGGCCACAGAATGAACACGGCTGAAATGTTCCGAGCTGCTTCAAAATACGTCAAGTTTTTGCAGGCTCAAGTCAAAGTTCTTCAACTCATGGAGCCAATATATTTTTGTTTTCCGAAAACATTTTCTATATTTTTGAAAACACGAAAACTTTCAATATTTTTTCATGCAGGAAAGAGAAGAATTGCCTCCATCTCAAGAGCTTCAAACTCTTCTTGAATCTCCAATAATTCAAGAAAAATTGTACTAAAAAACAGTAACAGATCCAGAAATTCTTGTTAGGGTCAGTCAAAATAAAATGTAATAGCATATAATATTTATATTTTATATTTTTAGTTGAAATTAACATAAATACAAAAAAAATTATATATAATTTTTTTTTTTTTAAATTCGAGGCCCAGTCTCAATATAGTCTAGATCCACCCCTGCTCAGAAGACAAGTGTTTGGTTCGAAGAGAAAATCTCCAAACCCTAAAAATTGATCCTGAAATTCAATCAAAATCAGCCATTTTTGAGAGCATTGATGAGCTGCTGGAAACAAATAATGGCTAATTATTATTATTAATGACCATATTTATTTTATTCTGTTGTAGATTTTGACCTAGATGGTAGTTAATTAACCCTTGATTTGTATTGTAGGTATTAGAGACTAACCATTTTCTTTTCCAAGAAATGGAATATTAGTGTTTCTGTTTCGTGTCAATTTTAGTTTGATTATTGCCGTAATTTAGACATTAATATGTATTAATTTATGTAATTATTTAATTAATTTCTTGGCGGCTACTCCAAGATGAATATGTTTCCTAATTTTATGGGTTTAGTTTTGTAATTATCTTATTGGTAGTTAAATATGAATGAATTAAAATCTTAAATAAATTCCTAATTATATATATATATATATATATATGGACAGATAATGTTAATAGAGTAGTGTCCTAATAATTCATATATAAAATTTTTTTAATCAATGGAAATGATTCCATGTCTAAATTATGTTAATCTATTATGACAAAATTCAAAGATATTATGAAACATTATATGCTAAATAGAACATGTAATAATTAAAAGTTTAAGCAAGTGAGGATCCCCAAAACTTTGGAATACAATATTATACTTGCAATTAATTGAAATATCATGATCAATTTATGTGCTTATTTAATTCAGTATTATAGTTTTTAAACAAATATCACACATTTACATAAATTCTTCTATTAATTCATATAGTATCTTATTCTATATTATCATAGACTTTTCAACATTCCTTCACTATTAAATTATTAATTTATTGAAAAAATTACTCACCAGTCACCACTCAGCAGGAATCCATTTTAAAAAACGCAACACTATAATTAAACGATGAAAAATCGAATTTAACACCGTACACATATCCACACAATAGATATGGAATATGTTTAAGCTAATATGCTCTACATTTTTTTATTTAATATTTTTTAGTATTTACCTATTTATAACGGATGAAAAAAAAACCTTATTGTGTATTAATTTATTGGAATCAAGGGTGAATAAGGTATTTATTTGGCTTAAGAAGATTGAAGGGAACACTTAAAATGAGGGTATGGAAGTGGAGAAGAGAAAGGGGTGAGCAAGAAGAAATATGAAAAAAGAAAAGAACAAAAAAGGAATAATTTTATTTAATTTTTAATATTGAAAAGACAATAATATCCTTAAATTATACAGGACTTAATATTTTTGTACCAAGGTAATCAGTCATTTTAACTTTATAAAAAGACAGAATTGCCCCTTAGATGATAAGGGATTTTAAACGTCATTTGCATCCGGGGTGGATTGTGAATAATTTTCAAAATCACAACCCTTAAATTGAGAGTCTGACTGTAATACTAGAAAACACAGAGGTAGTAACTAAAATTTACCAGTTAGCATATCTCATCAAAAAAAGTTATTAAAAAAAAAAAAAAAAAAAAAACGTAAATATAATGCGGGGTAAGTTCCAGTGGTTGAAGATTTTATATATTGACAGCAGATTACCAACATGGAAAATCTGAGTTGGCTTTAATCTCTATAACTAAATGTTTCTTATGAAAACAATACATGTAGGAAAAATCTCTAACTTCACAAGCTTCGAGCAACCTTTTCGTACAAATCGAAACTAAACAATCGAAAGCTTTCTCAGTTTTCAACCATTTCAACAATTAATATCAAGAGGATGATTAAATACCAAAATAATGCCGGATTGTGGCTTAAACTTCTGGATATATGATCTCTA